GTGAGTCAGGGCCCAGAGGACAGTCATAAAGGGGCTTAACAATCAAACTATTATCAGAGATCCAGAGTCTACAAAATCTATCCATGCCTAGAAAAGTTCGAAATTGTTTCTTAGTGGCTGGGACAGGGAATTCCTGGCCCAGAAACTTTACAGACTGGGATGCTATATGAACTTTGTTCAAAGAGACCCTATAGCCTTGAGTTCCCAAGAAATTAAGCACTCCTGAGGCAATGGACAAAGAAACCTCCTGGGTGGGGCTACAAATACAGCGATAGGAAAATGCTTTAGGGTGTCGGAGGTGAACAATGGCTGGGGTGGCAAAAGTATCCCAAATTGTCTTCCACAGTTCCAGGGGAACATAGGGAGGTCTGGCAGGGGGAGGGGTATGTTTGGAGACATCTCTCAGTTACCTCTGGAATGCCCATGACTGGATGGGTCAAGGAGCAAATAGGACCAGAGTGATTGGTTAAAGCAAAGAACATAGCCATGAAAAAGCGGGTAACCTTACCTTCAGCCTCGATTTCTGCCCAGGGGTTGGTGAGAGAGAGGGAGAAAGTGGGAGTGTGGCCTGCATCCAGGCTTGCCTCCCCAGTCTTGAGAAAACTGGAGGACAGGGTCCTGGGGGGCTGCTCTACCACTTCTCCTACCTCGGGGACAATCCTTCTTCCAGTGTCCCTCCTGGTCACATCTTGGGCGCTTCCTCCAAGGGGGCGCCCTAGCGGGGGCACTCTTTGGACCAGTAACCCTCATGGTGGCATTGAAAGCAGGTTTTCCCACTGCCCAAGTTGCCAGGAACACCCTTGGGTCTCCTCCAGACCACAGCTGCAGCCAGGAATCGGGCATGTTCTTTGTCTCTAGCCCTCTGCCTGGGTTCTTTCTCCTCTGCTGCAACTAAGTCTCAGTTGTTAAAGACTCCAATAACTGGGCCTGAGGTGTTTGGGGTCCCCTTGCCAATTTCTGTAATTTTCCCCTAATATCTGGGGCAGATTGGTTAATGAAATACATGCTAAAGATTGCTGCCCCTTCTGTAGAGTCAGGATCTAAATTCGTATACTTTTTAATGCCTTCTACTAGCCTATCTTGGAAAAGGGCAGGATTTTCCTTTTCTTCCTGAGTAGTTCCCTTCATCTTTTGAAAGTTTACTTACTTGCTTTTGAAATGCTGTTTTCAGGCCTTCTAACAGGCAAATTATCATGTAGTCCCTCTTTCCCCTATCCTCACTCTTCTGAAAATCCTGATGGGGGCAGGGCCCAAGACAAGATTTTTGCCTTTGCCCCAAAGGGAATCTGGCTCCCACTGGTCTACAGACCCCAGCTCTTATCTTCCCCTTGAAAGCCCTAGCTTGCCTTTAGATCTTATTCAGATACACCTGCAACCCTTGCCCTGAATAGAATCTGGCTCCTCTTGGTCTACAGGAAAACCCTTAAACTTTCAAATTTCCTAATCGACTCCCCTCATCTCCTTTATTCAGGTCTGGCTCACTTCTGTCTATAGGCCCCAGAAAGGCCTAGGCCTTCCTTATCGACTCTCCCCTATCTCCTTTTGAAAGTCCTAGCCCCACCTTGATTTTGTGCAGATGCCTTTCAAACTTCTGCCTTCCTGTTCCCTCCATTAGCTACTCCCATTGTCTATTCAATCTGTCAGACCTCCCCAATTAAGAGTTTTTACCTACACCCTTTTCCCAACCCCCTTCTCTGGCCACCCAAAGTTACTTTCGATCCACCTTGGCCCTCATTCAGATGCTGAGAATCTCAGGCCCACAAGGCTGAGAACCTCTCATGCCCGCTCCTCTTTATGGGTGTCACCCAGCCGAGAATCTCTCGTGCCCCAAAGGCTGAGCCTTTCTCATGCCCGCTGGCGTCACCTGGTCAACGTGATTTATCACTAATAAACTTTTCCTCTGGCTGAAGATTTGAGTTGAATTTATTCAGCAGGGCCTGGTATCACGATCTTGGGGATTTTGCAGCACCCCAGAAGTCCTAGTCCTCTTCAATCCCACCCCGGATCACTAGCAGGAGCAGCAGCTGTTCATGGGGGGTATTTTGTGGGGTCATTGCTAGCAAAACGATCCCCAAAATTTTGGGCTTGTTCCCAGATTCTCTTCCTCTCCTCAGGGGTACAACAGGTGGAGAAGAGGACATGCAGATCACCCCAAGAAAGTTTGAATTGTAGGGACATATTCCTGAAGCCCTCAGTAAATTTAGTGGGGTCTTCAGAGTATGGACCCAGCCTTTCCTTAATGTGGGTGAGGTCTGAAATGGAGAATGGAACATGCACCCTAAGTGTCCCGTTAGGAGAGGCAAGTATTTCCCTTAAAGGAAAAAGCTCTGAAGGCCCTGCAGGAGCAGGGGCTTGCGAGGAAGATAGGAAGTCCCGCTTCTCGTGAGTGAGGGACTGGAAAGCGCTGGCTGAACTGGCAAGGCCGAGAAATGCGGCTGACAAGGGGAAAGATTACCTGACACTGGAGTAGGGGGAGGGATCAGGGGAGAAGACGCCAAGGCGAGACCCTCGTCTGGAGCCTGAGGAGGGGTCCCCTCGGAAGTAGAGGTCTGGGAAGGAGGCACTGAGTTGAGAACGTCGTCCGGAGCTTGAGCTGGGGTATCTTCGGAAGTAGAGGCTAAGTAGGAGCAGCCTCTAGAGCAGGGGCTTGGAGGGGAAATGCAGGAGCCAGAGGAAAAGGGAAGGAGAGTCAAGGGAAAGGGGGGATGGGCAAGGAGGTGGGGGCATGGGAAACGGGGAGGAGTAGGGGAGAATAGGGAAATGCAGGGGGAGTTAAGGGAAAATAGGGAGCAGAAGGAGGGGTCTGGGGAGAATGGGGAACAGCCGGGGAGGCCGTAGAAGAATGGGGTGGAGATAGGTGCTGGGGAGGTGGTGCCGACGGAGGTTGGGAAGAGAGGGATGCCATAACTCTGGGAGGGAATAAGAAGAGGATCATCCAAAAAGGTCTATTTGATCCCCACTCTCCACTAGTGGGGTGGCTCTACCTACAAGCATCTTACAATCTTTTCTGAGAATGGGTCTCTAGAAAGCTCAACAAAAGCCATTAAGTAAGAAATCTCCACCCATTTTCTTTCTCTGCGACAATATTTTTCTAACTCTGAGAGGGTCTTTACCCGTAATGTCCCCAAAAGGGGCTATGTATGCCTCATAGTTTTCCAGGTGATACTGAGGCCAAACGGTGTTGCAAAAATGTACCAAGCCTTTTCAAGTTCTTTACAGAAGCTAAAACTTTTCCAATTTTGTAAAAGACAGCCCAAAGGTGAATTCTTGGGAATTGAAGAGGATTGACCTATTGCGGGCTCAGGGGAAAGGAAAAAAGAAAAATATCCAACAGTTTCCCAATTCCCTAGCTCTGAGAGAACTGAAAGGTTCCTGATAGGGAGTCCGTCCTCTATGCTAAGGAAGGTATTACCCAGGTGCAAGTGCTCAAGGAGAGGAACTGGACCGAAAAGCCTGGGAGCGTTCAGGTGGAGTTTGAGGCAGCCTCGTAGCTGTCTGACTTACGGGAACCTGAGAGATCGGGCCGAAAACCCTTCCAAGGCAAGCTTAGCTAGCTGCTTGGAAATCCCCCTCCCAGCCACAAGACAAGAAAGGAATTGGGGAGGGGGACGCTTACCAGTCGTGGCTGAAGAAGAGTTTAGCAGTGCTTCTCCGTCAGGGAACTGTATGAAGAGGTCTAGGACTTTTGGGGTGCTGCAAAATCCCCAAAATCGTGGTACCGGGCTCTGCTGAATGAATTCAACTCAAATCTTCTTCAGCCAGAGGAAAAGTTTGTTAGTGATAAATCACACTGGCCAGGTGACGCCTGTAAAGACAAGCGGGCATGAGAGGTTCTCAGCCTTGTGGGCCTGAGATTCTCAGCATCTGAATGAGGGCCAAGGTGGATCTAAAGTAACTTTGGGTGGCCAGAGAAGGGGGTTGGGAAAAGGGTGTAGGTAAAAACTCTTAATTGGGGAGGTCTGACAGATTGAATAGACAATGGGAGTAGCTAATGGAGGGAACAGGAAGGCAGAAGTTTGAAAGGCATCTGCACAAAATCAAGGTGGGGCTAGGACTTTCAAAAGGAGATAAGGGGAGTTGATAAGGAACAGTTTGAGACTGGAGTAAGGCCTTTCTGGGGCCTGCAGACAAAAGGGAGCCACATTCTTTTAGGGCGCATCTGAATAAGATTAAGAGGTAAGGCTAAGGCTTTCAAAGGGAGATGAGGGTCTGGGGCCTGGGAGTCAGATTGTGCAAAGGGTGAAGATCTTGGCTTGGGCCCTGCCTCCATCAGTAGAATGGGGGTGGAATAGGGCAGAATCATAAAAAGTCAAAGTTCAAGCAGCAGCTTTCTTGATCGCACCTCTTTGCCACCTTCCATTGATAGTATTCTCTCTCTCCTCCTCTCCCTTCTCTTCCCTCCTTCTTATCCTCCCACTCTCCTACCCTCCCTCCTCTCTTCTTCCTACCTTCCTCCCTCTTCCCACCCCACTGCCTCCATGCCTGATCTTGAGGACTTCTGCTGACCTTCAGCACCACATGATGCAACTGCCCCTTGATCACCCCTCACCGTCCATGTCATACCCCTCCCATGGGTTCCCCTTCCTCCTAGTCCCTGCGCAGGAAATGGATAGACCAACGCCTCTCCCAGAACAATCACACTTCTGGTCAGACTGTCCTCTGAGCCACTGATCTCCACCTCCTAACTGTTTTGGACACAGATAAAGAGATTCTTAATTCTGGCTCTTTCTGATGCTTTGTATACATGATCTCATTTCCTGGAATAAAAACAACTCTGTGACTAGACATTACTGGTAATGTTGTCCTCATTTTATGGATAAGCAAATGGAGGCTCTGTAAGGTGATTTGTCTCTGGACCCCTAGCTTCCAAAGAGAAAGAAGATTCAGAACCCACCATACAGTGCTGTCTCTTCAAGTCTTCTGTTTGAATTTGGAACCAGGTGGTGTTTTTCATGATGTGATTTATTCCTCCATTAATATGTACCCTATTTATGTTTCAGAGTCCTTTATCTGGAAATTCACATGAGTCTATCCAGTCCAGAAGGGTAGTGATTTCTCATAACATGGATAAAGCTCTGAAAGAAGGTAAGGATTTTATATAGATCATAGATATGTATTTATGGGTAGATAGGTAATAGATACCTATCTATTCACACATTTCTGTATAAAGCAGGCCATTATATTTTGAAATTTAAATAAGATGGAGGGAATTGATGAAGGTATCTATTATTTATCTATTTATCCGTAGCAGTGAGCACTTTTTCCTTGGGGGCATTTGTGCTGAAATTTTCATACCAGTTAGTTGCACATAGTAATGTCGAATAGTTCTACCTATTGCTTTCCTGGGCTCATGTTGAGTCCCTGATTGTTTTGCTAGACAAATGGGAAAACAAACAAAAAAAGACAAGTATTATCAGTGTCGTCCTAGACTCCTGGATCAGATTTGTTTCAGTTCTCCATAAGAAATATTGCATTTCAATGGTAATTCTTATGCAAGGCCTAGTTCTTGAATTAATAATGGTAGAATCATGCTTAGAAGTGTTAGGTGAGTGTTATGGTAAATAATGAGAAAATAAATCCAGAGGTCTCCCTGCCCCTATCCCCTTGAGTGGTGTATTTTCCCATTCATTTGTTCTTACTCTGCTTGTTTTAAATTATTTTTGAAACTTGCCTGCCTGCAACTTTCCTGGTGATTTCAAAACATACATATATTAAAGCCTCTCCGTCTAGGGGAACTTAGATTAGACAGTATATATTTCATATATGTATGCATGCACATGAGTCTAGACATATATGCATGTAAATATGTATATGCAAACTGCACACGCTAATAATTATAGTCTTATTCATATACAATGGACATACATGTATATTGTCATGTACACATATCTGTACATGTGTATATGTACACACAACATATATAAATATATATATATATGCAACTTACAGAGGGATAGTATGCAACAATCACATTTCATAGTTAATTTTTTAAAATTTGTTTGATCTCCTGAGAATACATTGCCATAGAACAGTTCTGGCAAATCTGTTACATTTCATATCTGTTTGTGGTCTTCCAGTTTTATCTGTAAATGCTGTTGGCATGACTCTGCGTAGTCGGGTATCGTCATGCCAAGCTTCTTGGAGGCCTTGGTTTCCTCTTGACTGCTGTTTTTGTTTTGTGAGGTGAAGCTGCTCATAATCAGCCTTCTTTTGCCTTGCAACTCATCTTTTGAACATACTCTGACTTTTTTTGAACATACATTGACACATTTTGGAACATGTCAAGGAAATAGCATTGTAGGGTGGAAAGAATGCTGGCTCTGGGAAGTTCAAATCCCTTCTCTGACATTGTACTTGTGTGACTTTGGGAGTCACTGAAGGTCCCCAGGCCTTCCCTTCCCCTTCCCCTTCTAGCCCTGCAGCTATGATCCTATAATCTCAACCTTTTTTTCTTCTTCTACCTCCCCCAGTGATTGTAGGGTCTTATTAAAATAAGAGACTGCTTTCAAACTATTGTTTTCTAACATCTTGAAAATTAATTAACTAAAAATATTTAAAGTGTTATTTAACTCAAGTGGTGGGCTTTTGCATACTTTCATGCTTAAAAAACCCATATTCAGCTTTTCTTTTCATTTGGGCATGTACCAGCTTGAGGATGGACACACACCACACACACACACACACACAACTCTTCAAAGAGTGACAAGCTAAGTTTTGAGTTTGTTGGGGCAAAAGTTAGTCAACTCGGGTGGTTGTTGTTTTTTTGATCTTATCCCCAACGTAATTTCTCTTCATTTATTCTTATTATAAAGAAAACTGTAGAATCAATAACTGTCTAAAGCCTTCAAATGAGAACTATCCTTAGGTCTACTTTGTATAGCCTTGAGCATTTGATCATAAAATATTTACTTTACACTTTAGTGGTATTGATGTATTCCTCTGGGAAATCTTGAAGTTATATAGTCTGTTATTAAAGGGGAACATTTATGCCAGATAGTGTTATAGTCAATAAAGTTGGGGATTGAGAAGGAAAATATATTTAGTGTTTGGTGTAACAAAATAAGAAAGACGATTAGAGAACCCTTACTACAAAAAATGCCACCTTTTAGCCTGATTGGATATTCTCTGTAGTCTATATATTTGTTTTGAAAGAGATTTTGTAAAAGTATCTAGAAATTTAAAATAGTGGGTAAAGTTATATGTGAATGTTTTATATAACCTACTTGTCTACATCTTGGCAACCAGGACATTCTGTTGAATTAGACATTCACAATACTGTTACCTAACTTCTATAAACTTCTGTTTATTTGTCCTAAAACTGGCATTTCATTTTTAGGTCAACAGTATGCAAACAAAAAGCTACACTGTAATGCTGCTGTGATTGCATTCTGTTGAACAGAAATGATCAAGCATGGCCTTATTTTTTGCACTTGAAAGGACCAAACTATTGTTGGCTATTGTGTTTTTCCTTAGTGGCTTCCCCCTCTCCCATTTAGAGCCTATAGGTTTTTTTTTTTTTTTTGCTAGGTAATGGGGGTAAGTGACTTGCCCTCGTCACACAGCTAATAAGTGTCAAGTGTCTGAGGTCAGATTTGATTCCAGGGCTGGTGCTCTATCCACTGTGCCCCCTAGCTGCCTAGAACCTATACTTTTAAAAGGGAACTTTTCCCTTTCCCTTCCCTCACTCTAAATACTGATCATCAGGAAAGATTTGATCTGCTCTCCTTTTCTTCTTCACAGGCAGTCTGGTGATCCTTTGCTCCCAGGGGCTCACCATCTTGGTGCCAGATTTAGCAAGTGCATCTCATTAGCTTTATTTCTTCTCTAACTCAGAACTCCAAAGCTCAAGACATTTATTAGCCTTGGCTTCCCTAGCAGCAAGGAGTGTAGGCATTTACCACTATGCTAAGCTAGGTTTTTTTTTAAATGGAATTCAAGTAGTCTGTCCATAGGATTTATTTTCTTAAATCTTAGCTGATTGAATTATAGAGCATCAAAATGGCATTAAGTCAGAAATATTGAAGGAAATAATAGAGCTATTTTTTCTGTGGAGTAACCAGAATTGTTAGGACTCTAGATATTTCAAGTAAACATGTCTGCATGGGATGAGTAAAGATTATACTTTTCCATTGTGCATGATATTAGGGTTATTAATGTATTATCCATTTTAAAATGTGAAAGACTGAGTATTAGAAACTCAAAATCATGAGATGTTTGTATATCTACTCATATTTCTGTCAGAGAAAACTCAATAACCTCTTCTACTCATAACAAACATTCTAAGTTTTTGCCCAAAATAGAATCCCAGTGTGTGGGATGCCACTCAAATTAAAAATAAAACAAAACACAGAGGTGTACAAGGAGAAACAGAAAGTTTATTAGAGCTATAATTATTATTGTTATTTCAATCACAAGATTTGGGTGTCCCTCCATGAGTCCATCAGTAAGCTCTGATGACGGGAGACGGCCAACAGAGGTAGAAATCAGCTTATATAACCCTGAAGACTCAGTTCCCCCTCCCTCACAGCTGTCCATTAACTCGGCTCACAATCTCACAAGCCAGACTCTAACACAGGACAAAGGACATAGTATACATCTCTATATTTCTTAGTTTGTTGAGATAATGTCAAAGAAGCAATTAAAAGAAATGCACAGCTAGGAAGATAATTTACAATTGTTTTGGAAGGTTTTAGGGATTGAACAGACAATGTTGGGAACAGGAAGACATCTAAGTAAAATCCTGTTAAAGGGAGATAAGGGACTTGAAGAATTCAGGGTTTCCTGGGACTGGTAGATGAATGGGAGCCAAAAAAAAAAAAAAAACACATGTGGGTAAGGTCAAAGGCCAGGCTAGAGCTTTAACAATTAGACAAATTCCCAAGACTAATGTCTGGCACCAGGAGAAGAAAAAAAAAAGATCTTACAGAAATCTATACTGAACCCTGTGCCACCTCCTGGACCCGCTACCAGATCCAGGATAGTCTTGTCCCAAATCTTAATTACACTGAGAAGTCTTCACAATGTATTCCATTCACCAGGAACCTTCTATACCACCATTTCCATAAAAGAGATGTTAAATGATTGGAAAAAAAAAAGCAAGTATCACAGTTTTATGGAGCTTCTGTCAGACTTTCACAAGATCTGCTCCCTGATTTTCATTTGGATTTATTTATTTATTTATTTGTTTGTTTGTTGGTTTGTTTGTTTGTTTATTTATGTCTAGACCTATGATTTCATCTCTCTTGTCTCACCGTTTTGAAAATTTCCCTCCACTGATACAGAGAGTCATCTGGAGCAACTGTGAAGTTTAATAACTTGCCCAGGGACACACAAGTCTGTGTCTAAGACTGAACCAAGGTTTTTTTCTCTGCAAAGCTGGTCCTCTATCCATTACCTCATACTCTCATTGTTTTATTTTAGGCTATAGTATTTCATTTTTTACTCCACCAATATTCAAATGTAACCTTAAGAATGAATTTTAAAATGTCATCACTTTGCACATTTTATCCTTTTAGAGTCATTTTGAATATTAATCACTATTCTGCCATTCAAAAATGTTCTCAGTGTCCAACAAGTATCTTCTAGAATCTAGAATCAGGGGTGGGAAACCTGAGGCCTTGAGGCCACATGTGGTCCTCTAGTTCCTTAAGGGTGGCCCATTGACTGAATCTAAAGTTCACAGAACAAATCTAGAATCTAGAATGGTGATCTACAAACCTATCTTACAGGTTTTAAATTTCATTATTTTGTTCTTTACTCTTATTGTTGACATTCATTTGCTTTGAAATGGTCTTGGGACATTGATAAAGGGTATCCCAAAAGTCTTAGTGTGGTTTTAAGCTACTTAGCTTAAATCTAAAACTTAAAAAAACAAAAATATCAAAAAATATTTTGTATTGTAAAGCTTTAACTCATCATAACAGGGATCCTGGTAATATCTTTTTAAAAAAATAATATCTTATTTTTTCCCAATTTCATTTCAAGACAATTTTTAGCGTTCATTTTCACAAGATTTTGAATTCCAAACCTTTCCCTTCTTTCCCTCCTCTCCCCTCTTCCTAAAATAGTAGGCAATTGATATAGTT